TGTGTACGTCTAGAATGCCTGGTGGGATGCTCAGCAAGAAAGGTGATGGCCGCCGGATGGGCTCGACCATGAATGACCAGGACTTCGACTACGTACCTAGCGTTGAAATATTCGCTCCTTAGATCTGACATGGAAGGTCTCACCCTTGGAGATGTATTGCGACCACCAAGAGGGGTCATCCCGCGTGAAGAACTCCGACTCCTGCTCCTCACACGCGGCCCTGCAGGAGAGCCCTCCAACTTCACCTACAGCATCGATACTTGTCCAGATAACTAGGCGGACACTGAGGAGTACTGAGCTCACTTTAGAGGCTGCCATCTCGAGCACATGTTGCATCCCGGAGGGCATCGCCTGCCGATCCTTGTGGGCCTTCACTCCCTGCTCAACTTCCCATCCAACAGCTTCCATATACTCCTGACAAGCACAGTGAATAGATCGACACGCTGCTCATCAAGGACAGTAACATACCTTCTCGTGCTCTGGCCTAGGTTTATTCCACAGTCTAACTGACTCGAACTTGGAGTAACCGTCCTCATAAGGCAGTAGTGAGGAAGCTGCGAAGCTCTGGATTTCTACTTTCTCATTCAGCGTAAAGAACATGACCTGATTTCCACAGCTACGTCGCGACAACATGGTCGTTTGGAAAGAGCGGGATAAGGTACACGGAGTTTATTCGATTCGAGGATGGGCCCAATGCTGACCTCCCAATGATGAGCATGTCTAGAGTTCTCCCGTACAAGGACGACAGGCCTCGCTGGGTAGGCTTCCAACACCTTCCCGTCCTCTTCGACGACACTAGAGAAGCACATGACCATAAAGAGCTGGCTTCAATGGTTCTTACTCTGGTCGATCCTTGCAGTAGGCTATCTCCCCGGCTTTGAATGGATAATTAGAAAAATCAGCATGATGCTGCCGGCTGGTGCGCGTTGACATGTTAACCAAAGGTATGGGCTAATAGGCCATAGCTCGTACATGTCACCATGTACGACGCCGAACCCTCCCAGCCTACTAAGGAACACAACGACTTCATAGATATAGAAATATCAGACATCCATCTCGGGGCCGAGCCCGATGCTCATACATGAATTCAAACAGATGTGACAATCGAGGAGCAAAGCATACTCCTTCAAACCTTACACGTGGGTCAGCGACGGGCAGGCAGTCAGGCTTGTCTCCACGAGCTGGGCAGCACACTCTGCTCAAGGACATAACGTAGTGACCTGAATAAACACGACCAATAGCACAAGGCCGTCAAGGAGGCAGGACACACATGGTTTGGGGGAGTAGACGTATCGACCGATACAATGCTTAGCACAGAAGAGGACCTCTCCAGCGGGCCCGAGCTTACACACGATCTTGCTGGGTGTCTGAGATGGGATTTATTCGGAGGTAAGATGACAGAGAGGCGCTCACGCAATAGGGAGAGCCCACAGTTGGTTTAGGGACGTGAGAGAAGTGCTGCTGCTGCTGCATGTCACCATCGGAATTCTCTTTGGGTAAATGATGGAGATCAACAGACGGCAGATGGGGAATCACTGAGAGCTACTAGTGAGCCCCACATCGGCCTCAGGACACAGCCCATCCTGACCAGGTTTAGGTATGAGGTTAGCCATGCTGAACATCGCCTCCATTGTTACAACTGTCTTTTTATAGTACTAGACAAATCAGAGGAGCCACTTGTTGAGGTTGATAACGCAATCTTGAACAACTCAGAGGAGTGCTACTATCGTCACACATGCTGATGCTCTCAATGCCCATAACTTTACAGCACAGTAGAGGCACACCTGTAATGCGATGTTCATACCGTAATCGCAACCCCGATTGATTTGTTATTCACACTAAGGTCGGCTGAGTCCGTCATACTCCCAAGTTGAGTAATGCCATCGAGACGATGAGGAAAATCATTCAACCGCAGTTATACTATATCTTCCAACGTCAAGGAGGAGGACACTATGGGTTTGCGAGATCATCCGGTATCAAATTCGACAGTGAGAC